GAATATTAGGCGGATGGTCATAATGTTATGGCTGATCAGTGTAGATCTTTGGCTACATTATAAAACTTTGTGCTCTAAGAAACCCTACCCCCTTCCCAGCAAGCCCCGCTATTTCCCCCGAGCTCTGTGCTGTACACAACAATGCGTATCTGGGGAAACTATGTGAATTTCTGTTCCTGCCAACAGGTGGGAGGAAGGACCGTACAAGTGGGAGGTTAGACACATCTATTAGCTAGAAGAGCATTTCATTACAATTACATTTTCAGAAACAAGTATTTGTCTGAACAGTGCAAGTTATTAGTGATACAGCCCTGGATTAAACACTCCTGAGATTCATGTACTCATTGAGTTAGGGTTCTGGTGGGTCCCTTCTCTCCTGAGCTCTACATTGATGGTGGCATTGTATATAGGGTTCCCTTCACAGCATATAGATCTAGTACCGCATTTTAGGGGGTTCAGGGATGGACAATGCCAGGACGTCAGGTTTGTTAAAATGACCATCGATACAAAAAAAACCACACACATTGGAAAAGAATAGCATTACTACTCTCCAACCCAACGCTCATTCCTTTGAGATCTTTCATCTCTTGCAGAGCTACGACCTATGGCAGAATCTTCAGCATCTAACACTCTTCCAGGTGTCAGGTACCTGGTCCATCCAATGCACAGTATGGATCCATCTGCCAACCCCATGTCAATAAAGGACATATTAGTGATGCAGGGACCAGGGGATGGAACAACCATGAGGGCCAGGCCTCCGATATTCTCCCATTGCTGAAAGTGTGTTGGATGCAGAAAGTTCTTTAGGCAGCATAGCTCTCCAAGAGAGTGAAGATCTGAGGCACCGAAAGTGGGACTGGTAAGTATTAAGAGGATCATTGTGCAAGGATCTCTTTTTTAGGAGATGACAGAGTCAATTTAAAAGAGAACTATGGGGTTAAGGCTTTTCCCCATAGTTCTCCTTAGGGTAAAGGGAGGACACAAACTAGTGTCCTCCCGTCACCCTAGGCTCAGTATACCGCAAGCTGTAGCTCGCGGTATACTGAGACGCCACAACTGAAGCGGATCCCGACAATTGTGCCGGGATCCGCCCAGCTTCGTGACTGACAGCTGGCTCTGCCTATCTAGAGGCAGAGCCATCTGTACCCGCCCCCTCCCGTTCCGCCAGTCAGCGCTGGCGGATCGGAGCGGGGGGAATCCAGCCCCTCCCCTGTCACGGCAGAGAGCCGTGACAGGATCAAGAGGTGAGCGAACGCCGGTATGTGTTCGCTCACCTCCCGATCTACTGAGCACTCACCTCATAGTTCTCCTTTAAGGCCACAGCTTGTCAACCGCTAACACTGAAACTTTACCTGTCAACCTAGCTAGTAACAGATGATTAATAAAAGACAGCGTGGGCTATATCAGTGGAAAGTGGTGCCCCTTTGCAAATCTACCTTTCTATCTATCCACTTGTTTTAAATTCCAGTAGAATCTAAAGCTGGCCATAAATTCACTCAGAGCTAAAAGAACATTGATGGAGGAATCTTCCCTGCCAGCTATTGTATTCTGACAACCAGTGCCTTAGGCTGTTAGGCTGTAAGGCACACACCTTACAACCATCGCAAGACTTTTGTCTTGCGATGGTTGTAAGGTACTTAAAAAAACGTACGATCTGCCTGTGTTGCATAGGCAGATCGTACTTGCGATGATCGCAAGCCACGCCCCCTGAGGGGCGGGCTTTCGATGACCGCAATGCCGAATGGGCAGTGTGTGCTTGCGCACACCGGCCCGTATGGCTTTTATCGTACGGACATGCCACAAACCCGCCGAACATCGTACGATGCTCGGCGGGTTTTCGAACATGTCCGTAAGTTTAAAGTCGTGCGACCTTACAGTAGTAGAGGTCACACGGCTTCCACACACCTTACGATAATCGTACGATCGCGGGATTTCCCGCGATTATCGTAAGGTGTGTGGGGACCTTAAGGCTGAGCTATGGCCAGCTTAAGATTCATGTTCAGATATAGATATATATACACACACACACACACACACACACACACACACACACACACACACACATATATATACACACATACATACATACATACATATATATACACATATATACATACACACACACATACTGTATATACATATATTTTAATTTTATTTCATGTGTATACAAAAGTTACCTCTCCTGAGACATATTCCATTGCCAAATTGCTGCCATGTCCTTTAACACCTTGTCGTTTGCTCAAGTGGGCCATTATGCCGGACGTCAGTGGGAGGGGCTCCATCCATTTATGCCATTCTGTGACTGCATGCACGATGATGACATAATCAGGTGCCTGTCCTATTAATGCCACTTGACCATGAGCTGTCTAAGATCAGCAGCGGCAACCCAGCCTTGCGGTCCACCTCCATGTGACTGCTAGACTGTCCAGCCTCTTCTCCCCTTCCCTCTGATGGTCTAAGAACTACTGACGTCATCACATCTAATGCAGTCCATTTACCTGCATTAGATGTAAGGACGCCGAGGGGCATACCACAGGACAGGGGAAAAAGAGGTTAGCACTCACCATCGCAGGACCAAGGTTCAGGTGAGTATGTCTTCTGTATTCGAGCCCTAGACCACAACAAGCAGCTAACCTTTGTAGTGCAGGGGTCGCCCCACTGCAAGGGTTAGTTTTGCTGAGTGTTTCCCATTGGGGAGATCTTCCTTTACAAACTAGACTTTGCTTTCTCATTGGCATTGATCAATTATTTCTCTTAACTTTGAATCAAGAAAACAGTTCTTATGGCCAAATTGTGGCCAAATAAAAAAAAAAATAATCCCAGATCCAACTGAGCATTTATAACAGATCGAAACAAAAATGGAAAAAAATATATTGATGTCTATGTGATTAGGGGAACGTTCTAGGAGTTCTTGAAGGAAACCAGCACCAAGAATAATAAGGAGGCTGCCGGTGCTGACCTGAAAATGCTAATCACCTGGATGTCTGCGGCTTCAATACTGAGACCTGGAACACCTGCAGATCGGTAAAGTCAGGACTGAGATCTGCATACTCCTTTCCAGTCAGTGACTTATGATTCCCTGACACATAACAATCAAACTGGCCAACAAATTCCAGGTTACAATGGCTTTATCAAAACGTTAAATGCTGCAACCAAACGCACCCGGTTCTACAATCGCACGGAAATTCAACGGATTTAAAAATCGACCACACGATTAATATTTACTCTGAAAAGCTACTTTCCTGTGTTTTATTGCCTTTCTTCATTGGCTATAAATAATAGTCATAAAAAAAATACTCAAAGGTCTGAAATGCACAAAAACACCTTTACAAAGGTTTAAAAAAATTAAATAAAAACTGAAAAAAATATCAAAAAGACGCTCAGCTCAAGTGTGAATCGGACCTTAAAGCGCAATATGCGGTTTCATTAGTATGCTTTTGAAGTCCCATGTTCATATCTCTCATGTGCGTGCAGAGAGAAAACACATGCAAAACGCGTCTTCGGTTGCAACACATTTTCACGCAACAAATTAAAAACGTGTTCCAAATGCATTATATGCTTTGAGGAAAACTATGTTTGTTTTCTAAAGCAATGGTGTGAATGGTCCCTAACTCAACCAAACTCTTTGTGTCACCATCGTGGTCCCTGGCACCACCACGAGGAAGGATAAAATCGGAGCAAAGTGGAACGGCGTGTCGGAACAAAGTGGAACAATCGTTCAAGGACCTGTAGCACCCCTTACCGAAACTCCCATACGTATTTGTGGGTGCACGCAATGACTGCGGATGGCGCCGCATTCACCATAGTCTTGTGTACAAACGTCACCAGCACGACAGAGATTTAAACAGTGCAAATCCATTTATTGATGTCAGTCATCACTCAGAGTGTCATCAAGTGCTTTCGGGGGCCACGCACTGTCCCCTTCATCAGGCTCAGAGTAAACATGTTTACTCTGAGCCTGATGAAGGGGACCGTGTGTGGCCCCGAAAGCACTTGATGACACTCTGTAGAGGAATGAAGTAGAAGGATGTACAGGGATGAAGTAAAGAGATGTAGAGGAATGAAGTAGAGGGATGAAGTAGAAGGATGTAGAGGGATGAAGTAGAAGGATGTAGAGGGATGAAGTAGAAGGATCTAGGGGGATGAAGTAGAAGGATGTAAAGGGATGAAGTAGAAGGATGTAGAAGAATAAAAGTAGAACAATGTAGAGGAATGAAGTAGAAGGATGTAGAGGGATGAAGTAGAGGGATAAAGTAGAAGGATATAGAGGAATGAAGTAGGAGGATCTAGAGAAATAAAGTAGAAGGATGTAGAGGAATGAAGTAGAAGGATGTAGAGGAATGAAGTAGAAGGATGTAGAGGAATGAAGTAGAAGGATGTAGAGGAATGAAGTAGAAGGATATAGAGGGATAAAGTAGAAGGATGTAGAGGAATGAAGTAGGAGGATCAAGAGGAATAAAGTAGAAGGATGTAGAAGAATAAGGTAGAACAATGTAGAGTGATAAAGTAGAAGGATGTAGAGGGATGAAGTAGAAGGATGAAGAGGAATGAAGTAGATGGATGAAGAGGAATGAAGTAGATGGATGAAGAGGAATGAGGTAGATGGATGTAGAAGCATGAAGTAGATGGATGTAGAAGCATGAAGTAGATGGATGTAGAAGCATAAAGTAGATGGATGTAGAAGCATAAAGTAGATGGATGTAGAAGCATAAAGTAGAAGGATGTAGGGGGATGAAGTAGAAGAATGCAGGGGGACGAAGTAGAAGGATTCCGGCGGGATGAAGTAGAAGGATGCAGGGGGATGAAGTAGAAGGATGTATAGGGAATAAAGTATATCTATGTAGCAGTGTAAAGTGTAACTATGTAGTAGAAGTAGAACTCATTGTGGTGAATACAAAGTTTTCAGCTGTCACTCAGCTCCTCACCTGTCATTGCCCGTTTGGAATGCCCCCGCCCCCCAGGTTGGATGAGATCAGAGTGGGCAGTGCCATGCTCCTTACCTTCCAATGTCACCTCCTTGCCAGCCTTCTTCAGCACCTGCACAGCCTGGTCATGGGTGGCATTCCGCAGATCGGTGCCATTGACAGACAGGATGGCGTCCCCGACCCTGAGTGCCCGGCTCTGGTCGGCTGCCAGCCCTGGGAAGATCTTGGAGATGAGGATGGGCATCCTATTCTCCTGGCCCCCCTTGATGCTGATGCCCAGACCACCGGACTCCTGTTTTACCACCCTCACCCTCCTCAGCGCCTCCGGGCTGTCCATGGGGTAGCGAGCTCCCGGGCTGCCCAGACCCGACTCGGAGCCGCAGTCGGATCCTGTCTGGGGGGAGCTGGCACCAGAGCGCTCGGGGGGTACCCTGTGGGGGCTGCCCTGGGCCAATTCGGTGCCGTTGCTGAGCCCATTGAGCTCTGCAGGCTCCTGCTCCGAGGTCAGGCTCAGGCTCTCCCCGGACAGTTCGGCTTGGACTCTCACCCAGTGATCCTGGAGGAGCAGCTCCAGCAGCCCGGACTTGGAGGCTCGGGTCCACACAGCCATGGTGTGAAGGTGCAGGAGCTGCCCGTACAGGGAGACACTTCCTGCCAGCGGCAGCGGCTCCCCTCCCCTCCCCCGGCCTCATACACACACGTGGCACAGCGCCACCTGCCGGCGACCCGGGAATGACAGGAGGTGCTGGTCCGGGAACTCTCTCCAGAGTGCCTGTCCCTGGAAATGGCAGGCGTCCCTCTCCTGAGGTTATAGAATTGGCAGCATGCAGCAGTTGTCTCTGGAAATGGCAGGGGTCCCTCTCCTGAGGTTATAGAGTTGGCATCTTGCAGCATTTGGCCCCACAAATGTCAGTAGTCCCTCTCCTGAGGTTGCAGAGTTGGCAGCATAGAATATTTATCCTTTGAAATAAAAGAAGCCCCTCTGCAAAGGTTGTTGGAACCTGAACATATTTGTCCCTAGAAATGGCAGTCGTCCCTCTCCAAATGTTGCAGAGTTGGCAGCTTGAAGTAATTGTTAGAGGTGCACCAAAATGGAAATTTTAAGACCGAAACGAAACCGAAATAAAAAAATTGTCAGGCCAAAACCGATACTGAAAATTTTTTTATTAAAATTTTTTCAAATTTGTTTAATATTTTATTTTTATTTATTGTTATAAACTTGTTAATTTTTTGATATTTAGGAATTCATTTTTTATTAAATATTTGTATTTGTTACATAACTTTTAGGGGCTGTGATAAGAGGCTGAACTGTGTGGGAGGAGAGACGCCGGCCGCTTACAGCGCTCTCTTCCCGCAGCGCTCGGCAGCCTGCCACAGTTTCTCTCCTCCCTGCTGGGACACAGAGCAGAGCCCAGCGGGGAGGAAAGAAAGCAGGGATGCGCCGATGTATCGGCAGGAAAATGGCACTTTCGGCATTAAGCCAAAAGTGCCATTTTCGGCCAATATGTTTCGGCAGCCGATATGTAATTGTCTCTAGAAATGGCAGTGGCCTCCTTCCAAAAGTCGCAGAACTGGCTGCTTAGAACATGTGTCTCTAGAAATGGCAGTAGCCCCTCTCCTGAGGTTATAAAGTTGGCAGCATTTACCCCTTGAAATGGCAGTAGTCCCTCTCCAGAGGTTGCAGTGTTACCAGCTATCCTTGGTTTGGAGTTTTTGCCCCGGTACCAGTACAAGGTCCTTTAGTACCCAAGAGGCCAAAGTGTGGGGGATATAATAAGATCAATTATTGGTGTCAGTGGGGGTAAAATATGCCCATCATTGGTGTCAGTGGGGTAAAATATGACCATTATTGGTGTCAGTGGGGTAAAATATGCCCATCATTGGTGCCAGTGGGGTAAAATATGCCCCACAATTGGTGCCAATGGGGTAAAATATGCCCCATCATTGGTGCCAGTGGGGTAAAATATGCCTCATCATTGGTGTCAGTGGGGTAAAATATGCCCCACCATTGGTGCCAGTGGGGTAAAATATGCCCCATCATTGGTGTCAGTGGGGTAAAATATGCCCATCATTGGTGTCAGTGACCCCACTAGTGTTGATCGCACTGGACCGGAACGCAGGCACTAATGTGCCACACGTTCGGGTGGCGGCAATCGCATTCCGGGTGGGGGGCGTGGCTGCAGTGCCATTGACTTCAATGCACCTCCACGCACCTGTACGCAGGGAGCCGGCTGGTTTGCGTTCCAGAGGCTGAACGCTTTGGAACGCACACTTTGTGGTGCGAACCGGCCCTAAGGGCCCATTGACATGCGTGGCCAATGCACCGCCTCCCACCCTTGAACGCAGGGAGCCGGCTGGTTTGCGTTCCAGAGGCTGAACACTCTGGAACGCACAATTTGTGGTGTGAACCGGTCCTAAAGCAGAACTCCAGTTTCCCTATTGCCTCATATCCTCCAGGCCCCTCCCTGAAGACAGGCCTTAGGGTATGCATAGAGTTAAACAATACTGGTTTGGGGAAAGGGAGGGGCACATCAGTATTTTTTAGCTCTTTATGCATACCCTAAAGCCACTCTTCAGGGAGGGGCCTGGAGGATGTAGTCCCTTTTTGCTGCAGTCTTCAGGCTGATCTGGTGATGTTAGGGGGTTCTTCCACTTTACCTCGGTGGCAGCGGCGGGCGGTCCTTCCTGCTAGACTGAGTAATGTCATGAACTTTCATAGGAGTACTGTGAGCCCAGGCTGCATGATGATGTATCCCAAGGGGCTGTGTCCATGACAGCTAGGGCTCACAGGAAGTGGATTGGATGACACTGGCCGTCATTCAGTAGGAGAAGTTGCTGGGACCTCTTGCACTCAGTCTGCAGAGGTCAGCGAGATAGAGGAGGTAAGCATTTAAAAAAAAAAACAAGTGGGGGGATTTATGAAAAACGGAGCAGGCAAAATCTAGAGCAGTTGCCCACAGCAACCAATCAGCTTCTCTCTTTAGTCTGTTCAGTTAAAGGAGAACTATGGGGTTAGGGCTTTTCCCCATAGTTCTCCTTAGGGTAACGGGAGGACACAAACTAGCGTCCTCCTGCCACCCTAGGCTCAGTAATCTCCTCCAGATTTTGTCTGCTCCAGTTTCGATAAATTCCCTTAATGAAGTTTAGCTTTTAATACCTTCATGCGGTATTCTCCAGGGGTTCCAGTCTCACTTTTGCACGGTATGGTGAGCAGAACTCTTCATGGTGGGTGAAGCTGTGAACTCAGGAATTGAGATCTCCCCACTGAAGTAGATAGATTGAGAGATGGAAAGGTAGATAGACTCTTGAGTATTATCAGCAGGAAACTCTATCTGTAATATTACACGGCTCAATGCTGTGGTTATTCTACCTTTCGGTACAGAAAAATCATTATTTAGATGTACATACCACCAAAGATTTATCTCTATATTAATATATATCACATTTTGTGCAAAGTGCATCCTGGCTGATCTGGAAGCTCACAAGTGTTCGCACCTCGGGTCACATGTGATCTATGTTTCTCTGTGTTATCTATATTGGAGCACGCAGGTTTTCTGTACCGCTGTGAACATTCGTCCCTGTTATTTGCACTTTCCATTCTTTCACTTTATATTTCCACCTGCTGTGGAATATTGGATTGCTTCCTGAATTTCATGTCCTCTGTTTGCTTTGTATCTGGGACTGCTGGAAACAGCGGATTAAAACTGACAAAGCCTTTTATTTCCCAATATTAGAAAAGTAAAACAGACAAAAATCCTTTCAAGCAGTAATAATAGGCGCTGCCTAAGTATATTGTTTTTCGAATCCTTGATTATAGAATATACAATAATTATTTTAGAGGATTTCAACTTAGGTAAATATGTTGACCTGTTTTTGAACTCTGAAACTAATCAACTTTTAAGGCTCATTCACATCCATATGGCGTGCACGCCGGTGCAAAGACCAGCTCCTGGGAGGGGCGGATGCAGTGTGTAATTGTGTGCAGCTGCCTGTACATACCTATGGGATGGTGATGGTCCGGGTGCCTGCACTTGGATGCAGACAGTGTGGGTTCAATAGGGATGTACATGGGGATGTACCTGCGGCTGCATGCAATTAAATCATGCACCTGTTCCTCCCAGGAGCAGATCTGTACACGGGCGTGTAAGGGCCGGTTCACACCATAAAGAGTGCATTCCAGAGCGTTTGGCTTCTGGAACGCAACGTGGCCGGCTCACTTTGTTGTGGGGTGGGAGACGGCGCCGCGGTCCATTGAACTCACCTCCGGCTGCAATGCGATCGGCCGCACGGGAACCCAAAGCTCAATATATCGCAAGCTACAGCTCGCGGCATACTGAGACGCCGCTGCCTTTACAGATCCTGACATCACTGTCGAGATCCACCCAGCTGGCTCTGCCTATCCAGAGGCAGAGCCAGCTGTACCCGCCCCCTCCCCGTTCGTTCCGCCAGTCAGCGCTGGAGGATCGAACAGGGGAGGGGGAATCCCTGCAGGGAGCCGTGAGTGACAGTCACGGCTCTCAGCAGGGATAGATCGAGAAGTGAGCGAACAATGGTATGTGTTCGCTCACTTCCCGATCTATTGAGCCGACCTGTGACAGTTTCATTGTCACGGGTCGGCTAGAACTATGAGGCTGAGTGATTTTTACTCCTTTAAGGTTCCTTTCACATGGGCACCGTCTGTTCCGATCAGCAGGAAATCCCTACATGGATCCCTTGCTGATTGGAGCAGTATGGAACGGATCTGGCAATGGAGGAAAAAAATTAATTAACTGGACCCATCTACTTTTTGATTTTTGTTATGTGTAAAGCTTAATAAAAATAATTGATTAAAAAAAAAACAGACCCATCTACAGTGTGTCGGATCTAAGCGGCCATGTGTCTATTTACATCCAATTGCCTCCGATCTGTCATAATCAGGTCTCCCGAAATGGAACTCTGTTCCATTATTTTTTCATAATACAAGGAGGACATTACATTTACAATACAAGTCAAGGCAAGATGTTAGGAGGGCCCTGCCCGTGAGAGCTTACAATCGTGATTAAAATGTACGCAGGTGTCCATGAGGGAGCCCTTACTAAACTTTTAAGCTGGCATCATACCCATATGGGTGTGCTACCCAACACATTTACAAAGGTTGGACACACACTGTGCATTTGTTTTGGGGTGTTCCAGTGCACCCTATCATGCATCAATTCAGTAACAATCCATGTGACCCTAAATGCGCCATAATGCATAAGGGCTCATTCACACCGGTACCTGAGTCCTATTTGGCCACTAGTGTGTGCTGGAAAGGCAGCAGTGCTGATGCGCCACTTACAACACAACGCAGTTTGCTTGTTAAGTGGATGTCCTACTTTTTCTCAGCACACATCACCACAGTAATATGAACTGAACATAACAAACACAAGGCAATCATGGGCCCTAAATCTGAAAATGTGCCATTTTGCGGGTCATTGAGGGGAAGAAAAGGGTCAGGTAAATTGTTTGGTCCATAGATAATCATTGAGGACCCACAGGAAGTGAAAATTGTTTGGTCCATAGATAATCATTGAGGACCCACAGGAAGTGAAAAGGTATAAGTTTCCTCATGTGCATTAGCAATGGGCATGCATAGATGTAAACACAGGAATCATTTTGGGTGGATTGCAGTTACTTCATAATGCAGCCTGGTC